CCCCAAAACCCCAAAACCCCAAAACCCCAAAACCCCATCATATCTTCAGCATATTGAACTTTATTTCTTGGCTTTTAAGGCGGCTCTTCTGGCTCTCCAGGCTCTGATCTTTGGGACTGGGCTGAACCTTCCGATAAATCTGAAGAGACCCAGTAATCTGAGGGTTGACATGCCCGCTCCTCTAGTTGTATGAGACAGAGTAGCTTACATTGTCATGAGGAAAGCAAGGATTTTGAGACCTTCTTCTGAACCGACTGCTCTACTAATTCCTCTCTTATAGTAATGATTCCTATTTGTTATGGCAGACACTTTACATATACCAGAACTGGCTTAAGCAGTACCATGATAGCAGAAAAGCAGCTGTTTTAGGGAATGATAAAGCTGTTAAGAAGGTACATGATAGAACTGTTGCTGTCTTATCAATCATTGACTCATGCATTCCTACCAAGTTTAACCGATATGTTTACTTATTACGTTGTTCATATGGATCCAATCGTTGTATGGAAGGCAATCAGCATAGATGTTGTTTCCCATATCTGGATATCTACAGGAAAATAAGCATTGCAGCCATTATAATATTAGATTTATTTCTCAGATTTCATGTCATTAAGCTTACCCTAAGGAGCTGATCTTTGAATCAGGTCCAAAATTTTTTCTATGGGTTTCCCCATACCGGCTCTCTACCAAAGCACGATTTTTTCTAAAAGTCTTGAATCTGGCTCTCATGGTAAGGCTGCCAGCAAATAAATTTTGAAATCCAATCATTCCAGAGAAGAATATGAGCACATAATGTACTCTTTGGAGCTTGAATTTGGCAACCACTGTATCTGGATACACTCTTTTCATATGATTATACCAAAGTTTTTTGAGGGTGATGAATCTATGGAGTAAAGCATGCCCAAGCTAATTTTATACCTCCTCTGACCGTATTTCCCAACAATGGCCATTAAAATATTTATACAATTGACATTCCAATATTTCTAAAAATCTAGGGGTTTTGGGGTTTTGGGGTTTTGGGGTTTTGGGGTTTTGGGGTTTTGGGG